TTATTCTTGCTAAAATTATGAATTGAGTTTTGACCCGAACAAATTTATTATTTATATCAGGAGGTAGCGCAGAGATCGAGACAGCCTACCAACCAAACTAATCGTCCTGTAAATAGCTTGTGAGTGAAAAAACTTAAATAGCCTCCAAGTATTGATAAATTAATTATACTATTATACTTTTTATGCTATTATGCAAAGTATTTGTTCAATTAAATGATTGATATGGAAATGTTCTTTCACTATGATATATATGGAATTCAAAGATAGTGTATGGATTATTTGTGGATTGGAATGTGATATTGAGATCGATTAGAAACGTACCCATGATTATATACTTATTCTAGTTTACGGAGTGGCCTAGCCGTGTTCTATACTACACTGAGGGGTCTTGACTGTGGATGAAGGGGTCTGAATGTGTACCTATAGTTCATTGAGTGGCCTTGACCGTGTTCTATTATTGATTATGAGAGTTCTTTGAGACCCACTGTCGGTCATGATGGGGCCTACGAGCCGTAAAGAAAGTATTTAGCCCGAGGGGCAGATTATCAATTNTCACGTCTTGATTATTGTTGTTATTATAATGTGAACTGTTAAATGATTTCCACTTGATTTTCGATAAAAATGTGTAAATGGAAATGTATAATTATTTTTGAATTTCTCTACTCACTGAGTTGTTAACTCATATTTTTCCACTATTTCCTTATCAGGTAGCTGTTGAGTTTTTGGGCATCTTGTGGAGTTGAGCCTTGATTTGGAGTCAAAGCCACTGACGAATTTTGCTAGTATGACTCATATTCTAGAACATGTAATCAGTGTTTTGGGACACATATTCATTTATGTATGNGTTGAGCCTTGATTTGGAGGCAAAGCCACTGACGAATTTTGCTAGTATGACTCATTTTCTAGAACATGTAGTCAGTGTTTTGGGACACATGTCATTTTTGTATGTCATTCCATGCCACTTGTAAATAGTTAGATGGGCTCAATATGTATTTGTATCCACATGTACAGTTGATGCTATTTTCATAGTAAAAGTGTGAGAATTCGGCTTATCTCTGTACCGTGTTATACTTCTGTAGTTAATGAAGTGAATAATGAATTAGCATTGGTATGAGATTATTATTGGGATTTGTGTCAAATTTTTTATAGGTTGGTTAGTCCAAAATACACGGGAGATAATGCCGAAATTTTTATTAAAATAAGTTATACGTTTCACATTGTAGTACCCTTGATAGTGGGTCCATCTTTTAGTTGGTATCTATCATTGGCGCACGTCACAGTTTGGGTCAACTAACTTTATCAAGAGTAGGGCGTGTCAATTTTGGATTTGGTCCCAAACCTTCCATTCTTCTTGTACTTGAGCTCTTATTCTCATTATATGTCCAAAATAGACGTAAAATTTGTTGAAGACCAATTAATGCATAAATTTAATTAAGGAAAATTATGTATCGCAAATGGATTCTCCATGCAAAATTCTATAAAATCACGTAAAGCAATACAAAATTTAGTATGACAAAATTGCTTAAGAACTAGCAATCCCTGGACCTAAGAAATAATTCAAGCAAAATCGTATTTTAATGAACGCTAAGAAATAATTAAAAGTACAATAGTGTTTTAACAAACTGTACATGAAGAGTATTGAAAATTAACAATTCAATAGTCTCTCGCACTCAGGATTGCAGTCATTCTTGAATGAGAGAGAGAGCGAGCTCCCATAGGAATCAATATTGGAGAAGTTTATTTTTGGCTCAAACTCCATCAAAAAGTCAAATCGCATCTTTCACATCGAACATTTGACTAATCAATGCCCAAGTCTCACTGACAACAATCGAAGAACAAAATTAATTTTACATATAAATATCTGAGTGAAATCAAAAAAATAAATTTAATATACTTTACTGTAGATACTAGATTGAGGCATAATTGACCGGCAAATAAAGAACCTTATCAAATTTAAATTGCAATAATAATTACAACATGGTGAAAATATAAACTATCAACAAATCCTTAAGAGTTCCTCAATCTGAAAATAATAATAAGTGCTTACAAATAGAAATAGTTATTAATATAATTGTTG